GCTCCCTTCCGCCACTGGCATGTCAGCCTTCTTCATTTCAGTGTTCTCATGGGAGTGCAGAGGCACCCCATCATCGTGGCTTTAATTGACATTTCCCTGATGACTAAGGATGCCGTGTTTTCTGGCCAGTTGGATGTCCCCTGTCGTGAGTCACCTTCTCTTTTTTTGGCCCATTTTTGTATTGGGTTGTCTGTCTTTTTCTTCTGATTTGTAAGAACTCTTTATGTATTCTGGGTGGGAATCCTTGCTTGATAAATGGCAAACGTCTTTGCCCCGTGTGTGCCTTCACCTTTCACTCCCTGAGTGGTGTCTTTTGATGAACAGAAGTTCTTACACAGACCGATGAATCAGTCATTTCCTGTATGGCGAGGGTATTTTGTGTCCTGTTTAAGAACTTTTTCCCTACCCCGAGGTCGTTTCTACTTATTATCTGGAAGCTTTATTGTTAAACCTTCAACTTTGGATCTGCAACCCACATGAAATAAATTTTGTCTGTGGTTGAGGTAGGGGTGAAGATTAATATCTTTCCGTATGGATACTCAGTGGACCCAGCACCATTTATTGAAAAGATCATCCATTTCTATATCCATATCGACCTCTACTTCCACATGTTTCTGGAATCTCTGTTCTGTTCCATGGGTCTAGACTTCTATCCATGCAATACCACACCGTCTTAAGTACTGTAGTCGTACAATAGGTCTTGATATCTGGTAATGTAAGTCCTCCAGCTTTGTTCTTCAGGATTATCTTTGCTGGTCCTCATCCTTCGCGTTTCCACATACATTTTACAATCAGCTTGTGTCAATTTCCACGAGATAAACGTATGATTATACTTGGGATTGATGACAGCCAACATCCGACTTCGTACCTCATCTCAGGGGGAGAACTTTCAATATTTCACCATTCAGCACGACGTTTGCTACAGGTTTTTCGTTTTGTTTTGTTTTGATACCCTTTAGCAAGATTGAGGAAGTTCCCTTTTATTGTACATTTTTTTTAAACCAGGAAAGGTTGTTGAATTTTATCAAATGCCTTCGCAGAATTTAAGATAATGGTATTGTTTTTATCTTTTATTCTTCTAATGTGGGATTGATTTTTCATTGTTAAACCAAACATTTTCCTGGAATAAATCCAACTCTGTTATGACATCTCATACTTTTTAGATATTACTGATTTGGTTAGCTAATAAATTGCTTAGGATTTTTGCATCTCTGTTTGAGAGAGAAATCAGTCTGTAATTTTTCTTTATCATCTTTTTCTTTCTTTCTTTTTGTTATGTTGGACACATAACGTGAGATGAGAAGAGGTCTCGCTTTTCCTACGTGCTAGAAATGTTTGTAACGATTAGTGTTGTTTCTCCCTTGAATGCCTGGAGCAATCACTGGTGAAACTAACTGGGTATGGAATTTTCTTTGTAGTGAAATTTTTGCTCACTTGTTCTTATTTCATTAACAGCTATAGGACTATCCAGATTTTCCATTTTTTCTTCTGTCCATTTTTGTAAGTTGCTTTTTCAAAGAAAGTGATGGCCTTTTTTCCAGTCCTAATATTGATAAATTGTGTCTTCTCTTTTTTTCCCAGGGATTTGTCAATCTTATTAGTCTTTTCAGAGAGCCAACTTTTGACTTTCTTGTTTCTCTGTATTGTAGGGTTTTTACCTGTCAAACAAAGAAAACAAACTTCTGGTTTTATCTTTGTTAAGGCTTTCCATCTATCTTTTTTATTGTTTGTTTTAATTTGCTGGGCTTTTTTTTTTTTTAACTTTTTGAGATGAATTCTTAGAACACTGATTCTTAGTATTTCTTCTATTTAATGTTATAATTTTACTTCTAAGCATGGCTTTTGTTGCATCCTACAAGTTTTATTTTAATTTTTAAAATCAACTTTATTATTGTTGTCTGCTGTCGAGTCGATTCTGACTCATAGCAACCCTATAGGACAGAGTAGAGCTGCCCCATAGTGTTTCCTAGGCTGTAATCTTTAGGGGAGCAGATTGTCAGGTCTTTACCGAGATATAATTAACATGTAATAAAATGCACTTGTTTTAAGTGTATAGTTAATTGAGTTTTGACAAACGTATACACCCATGTAACTACCAACCACAAGCAAGACATAGAACATTACATCATTCCAGAAAGTTCCCTTGTGCCCCTTTGCACATAATTCTCCATCCCTGCTCTAGGTAGACACTGATCTGCTTTTTGTCTTTACAGATTAGATCTGTCTTTTCTTGAACTTCATAAAAATGGAAGCACACATTATAGACTCTTTTTGGATCTGGACTCTTACTGAGCATGATGCTTTTGAGATTCATCCATATTGTTGATCGTCCTTTTTCACTGCTGAGTGGTATTCCACTGTATGGGTGTGCCACAATTTGTTTATGGATTCATATGTTGATGGGCATTTGAGTTGTTTTCAGGCTTTGGATATTAGTAATTATAAAGTTTCTGTGAATACTAGTGTCTTTGTGTTTTCATTTCTCCTGAGTAAACACGTAAGAGTAGAATTTCTAGGTGGTATGGTAAGTATAAGTGTACCTTTCTAAGAAACTGCCCAACTGTTTTCTGAAATGGTTGTACTGTTTTCTCTTTCCACCAGCAGTGTGAGAAAGTTCTAGTTATTCCACATTCTAATCCACAATTGTCGTTGTCAGTCTTTTTAACTGAAGTCATTCTGGTATTTCAGTGGTATTCTGGTATTTCAGTGTAGTTTTAATTTGCATTTCCTGATGACTAATGATGTTGACCATCTTATTTTGTGCTTATTGGCCTTTTCTACATATTCTTTTCTGCAGTGTCTCTTCAAATCTTTGCCCATTTTTAATTGAGTTTTTCGTCTTCTTCTGTTGAGTTTTAGAGTTCTGGATTGTCGTTGTTAGGTGCCATCAAGTTGGTTCCCTATGTACAACAGAATGAAACACTGCCTGGTCCTGCTCCATCTTTATAATTGTTGCTAATTTTGAGCCCATTGTTGTGGCCACTGTGTCAGTCCATCTCATTGAAAGTCTTCTTCTTTTTCGCTGACCCTCTACTTTACCAAGCATGATGTCCTTCTCCAGGGACTGGTCCCTCTTGATAATATGTCCAAAGTAGGTGAGACGAAGTCTCGCCATCCTTCCTTCCAAGGAACATTGTCACTGTACTTCCTCCGGATACAAGTCCTTTGTCAGATATATGTATTGCCTTTTCATTTTCTTAACAGTGTCTTTCAAGACAAGAAGTTTTAAATTATGATGAAATCTAATCTATTAGTATTTCTGTTATGATTCATATGTTTTGAACCCTATCTAAGAAATCTTTGTCTCCCCCAAAATGGCAAGGCTTTCTCCTGCACTTTCTTCTAGAAGTTTTATAGTTTTAGGTTTTATATTTAGCTCTCTGATTTATCTGAGTTAATTTTTATGTGTGGTGTGAGGTAGGAGTCCAGGTTTCATTTTTCTAAATAAATATTCAGTTATTCCGGCACCATTTGTTGAAAAGACTATTCTTTTCCTACTGAAATAACTTGGCTGCTTTGTCAAAAATCAATTGACCATATAAGTATGGGTCTGTTCTGGACTCTCTATTTCTGCTCCGTTGATTTAGATGTTTATACCACACTGTCTGGATTACTGTAGTTTTGCAGTAAGTCTTGAAATCAGGTAGTGAAGTCCTCCAGTTTTCTTCTGCTTTTTCTAAATTGTTTTCATTAATCTAGCTCTTTTGCCTTTTTATGTAAAATTTAAATTAGCTTGTCAATTTCTACAAAAAGGGCTGCTGGTATTTTTATTGGTACTGCATTAAATCGCTAGGTCGATTTGGGGAAATGCGACCTCTTAACAGCATCGAGTCTTCCAATTTGTGAATGTGGTATGTTCTTCCATTGACTGAGGTGTACTTTAACATCTCTCACCTGTCCAGAGTAGCCACACCACCTCCATGGGTCCCTACTCCAAGTCCAACACTTGGGCCACCCACCTGCCTGCCTCCACTAACTCAGCCTCTCTCTCTGCAGTGTCGGGCCGGCAGCTGCAGCCGGAGGAACCAGATGCAGAAACTGAAGAGGACCACTCTGTAAGTGAGCCCTGGGGTGATGCACGCCCTCCCCCTCCCCTGCCCAAATCTGTTCCTGGGCCCAGGTAACCAGATTCTCCCTTTCTGCCAGGTGACTGAAGGGCCCATGGATGAGAGCATTCGGCCACAGCCACAGGGATCCTCACCTGTCTATGAATGTGCAGCTGAAGGCGCCGGCTTCGGACTCCAGGTAAGCCTGCTGGACAGAGACCCACCGGCTGTGGGAAAACCCAGGTGTGGAGCCACAGGTGGCCACGCTGCCTCCAGCATCACCCTGCATAGGCAACTCACACGTGTATCTGTGCGGCCACCCTGCCCTGCCCCGCTGCCCACTGGGCCACAGCTCTGCCCATTTGACCACCTGACTCCTCTGCTTCCCCGACCTGTCCCCCCTCCTCAGCTGCCAAGAGCCGATGGAGGTGGAGCCACCCTGTGGCTTGTGAGCATGCGCTGCCGGGGAACAGACCTCACACTGTTGTGTGGGGGGCAGTGGCAGAAGCACAGCAAGGGTGGTGGGTGTGGCTGACAAACAGGTGCCTATACACACACCCACACGTGACACACACACCTGCCTCTGGAGAGCAGGCTGGGGGAAGGGATTGGGGAGGCGTGGTTACTAAAGGATTTGTTTTTGTATGGTTTGAATTTCTTTCTCACCTCCCTCCGTGCAAGACCGCAGTTGTGGTGAGGTTTACCGGAGGGTGTGGGAGCTGGGACCCACTAGGAAGCTCAAGGGCTGCGAGTTGCCTTTCCTGGGTGGGAGGGCCCAGCTCCCTCTGCACATGGCGGCCTGCGGCAGCTCTGGGACCCTCTCAGCTGGGGGCTCTGGCCCGTGCTGGGCAGGTGGGTGACTCTGGATGTCTATGGCTGCAGGAAGGTGCCCCGCGCAGGCAAGGCTCCTCAGGGAGACGGAGATCTTGGTGGAAGCGGGACTCGGGAGACTCTCGGACTTTTTCCAGTATGAGTCGTCCAGAGGTGGGTGTGGGAGAACTGGGCGTCAGGGAGGAGCGCCCACAAGCCTCCACCCACAGGGGCTGGTGGAGCAGGGGGAGGGGAAGGGCCCGGGAAGCTGGCAGAGGGCGCCCTGGGGAAGGATGTTAGGCACCCTTGTCAGGCCAGAGATAGGGACCCAGGAGGATGGCGGTCTGGCTTTCCCCAAGATCCCTCTCCCCCCAGTATTCCTGCCAAGAGGTTCGGAGCCCGGACACCCGGTAAGGTGCATCTGGGATTGTGGACCTGTTTCCTCGTCTGCACAGTGGGCGTGGTACTGGTGCCCACCATGGCACTATGGGGTGAGGTGTTCCCAGGACCTGTGGCCACCCAAGGTGCTAGGACCTGCTGCACGGCTAGTGACGAGGCTGCCACCTCCCAGGCAGCCGCTCCATTTCCCTGGTGCCCGGCCTGACGCCAAAGCTCCTCTGCCGAATCCTGAGGTCGCCCTGTGCACCCCGTTGGCACACATACCCTCAGGTTCATATCCTGTCGGGTACAGCACCAGGCACCAGTGTGCGATTGGGGACAGTGAATAAGGAGCAGTGAAGGAAGGCTCTGGTCTCCTGTGTGCATCAATCCCCTGGCCAGTGGTCAAGCTGCTCCTCAGGCCTGGCGGGGGCAAGAGGAAGCAACCTCCCACCCGAGACTGCCTGCAGCTGGTGACCCCAAAGCCTGGACCCAGGGGCCTGTGTCAGCCGGGGTGACAGGTCAGACGGCAGGGCCCCTGTCCTCAGGGGGAGGTGTGGGGGACACTGTGTGCTTCTGCTCCAGTCCATGCAGGGGGCGACAGAGGTGATGCTGAAGACCGAGGTGGAGGTTGGGGCCAGCGGCTACAGTGTCACTGGCGGTGGGAGTCAGGGGATCTTTGTCAAGCAAGTGTTGAAGGAGTCCTCGGCTGCCAAGCTCTTCAGCTTGAGAGAAGGTACTGTGCCTGCCCATCCTCAGGTTCCCATCGTCCCCCAGGAGGGAGACCTGCAGGGGGATGGGGGACACACCAAACCTCCCCTGAGCCACTTCCAGGCTGGGGTCCTGCCTGCTCTACCCTGGTGTTCTCACCTGTGAAATGGGGTCACCTCCTCCCACCCTGTGCTCCCTTGTTGCCCAGAAGTTAAATGGAGCTGGCCCACACGGGGAATTCCCCTTCTCTTTCACACACCCCTTCCTTTTTTTTGGTATCCTTTCAGCGGCCTGAGACTCGGGGTTTAGGGGCCCGAGGGGGATGGCGGCCTGAGGGGTTCGGGGGCCCAAGGAGGACGGGGGCCTGAGGGGGAAGGAGGCCTGAGGCAGCTCTCTCCTTGTCCAGGGGACCAGCTGCTCAGTGCAACCATATTCTTTGACGACATCAAATACGAAGATGCTCTCAAAATCCTTCAGTACTCAGAGCCGTACAAGGTTCAGTTTGGAATCAAACGGAAACTTCCTGACAGAGAGAACGAGGAGGGGGCCCTCAGTGATGCGCAACATGGCCCAAAGGGCCTCGAGAAACAGGTAAGGCGAGCCTGGAGGCCGGGCTGGGATGGGGTCCCCAGCCCAGGCCTCTACCTTCAGGTACAAGCACCCACAACCTGTCTCTCCCGTCTTTTAGGACAAGGAGGTTGCCGATGGGTGCGCAGAGGGCCCCATAAAGATACTGGAAGGAGGTGGGGACCAAGACAGTCTCCTTCCCAAGGCCAGGGAGGGGCGCGGTAGGCGACCCCAGAAGGAGAGGCTCTCCTGGCCAAAATTCCAAGCAATGCGGCCCAAGTACGGGCAGGGACCCCGGCGGTCACACAGCTCCTCAGAGGCCTACGAGCGGGGCGCCCCAGATGTGTCCCCCACAAGCACAGACACAGAGGCCCAGCTCCCAGGGGAGGAGCAGGAGCTGCAGGGCGGCCAGCACACAAGGAAGTTCCTGAGCCTGCGATTCTGGATGGGCTCAGGGCGTCCAGGCAAAGGGGCCCAGGGGGGGCCCGTTCCAGGGGTCCTGGAGGAGGCAGAGTTCTTGGACACAGGTGTCCTGTTGAGCACAGAGCCCAGCGGCTATGGGGAAGGAGTGCCAGAAGAGGCTGCAGGCCCTGCAGCCAGACGCAGAAAGAAGAAGACCAAGGAGGACACAGCCCAGGAGGAAGTGGCCGGGCAGACGGGGCCCAGGGGTGGCCCTGCCTCCGAGCAGGCCTGGGGGGAGAAAGGGGACGCAGTGCGGGAGCTAGAAGCCGGGATTGCCAAACTGTCTTTGCAAGATGCCACCGTGGCCAATGGCACACAGAGTAGCCTACCAGAAATACGAGTCCGCATCCCCCATTTGCAGACACCCTGCTTTGGGGTCTCCAAACAAAAAGTACTGGATGCAGAAACAGCCATCTCCGAACCCCAGCTGGGGCTGCAGCCAGGAAGGCTCTCTGGAGAGGTGCCTGGGCCCAGGGTGGAGGTGGAAGGAGAAGCAGAGAGCCTGGGAGCTGGAGCACCCCAGGAGGACTTGCCAGAACACGGGGATCAGAGAAGACAGAGGCAGACAGCAGGGCAGGCTGGAGCAATAGTCAGGGCTGAAGAAAAAGATGTGGAGGGCATCGAGGGAAAGCTAAAAATGCCCAAGTTCAAAATGCCCTCATTTGGATGGTCACCCAGCAAGGAACCAAAAACACCTGGGGCAAAACATCCACAAGAAGCTAGAGGCAGCCAGGTCATAGCTGGGACAGCCAGGCCACAAGCGAGAGCCAGCGAAACAGAAACAGAACCCGAACATGACGAGCAACAACGAAAAACATCCATAAAATTACCAGGAGGCAGAGCAGATGGTGTGAGCCTGGAGGGAGATGTGTCCCTGGCAGACAAGGACGTGGTCACCAAAGACAGCAAGTTCAAGATGCCCAAGTTCAAGATGCCGTCCTTTGGGGTGTCAGCTCCCAGCAAAGAAGAGGCATCCTCTGTGGATGTGTCCTTGCCCAGGGTTGGGGTGGAAGCATCCCTGCCCTCCCTGGAGGGAAACATCCAAGCTGCAGAAGTGAAGGCACAGCTGCCAGCAAAGGAAGTGGACATGAGAGGAGAGACCATCAGCATAAAAATGACAGGAGAGGTGTCAGTGGGAGACACCAGGGTCCAAGAGGAGGAAGCTGGGCTAAAGGAGAACATGCCTAAGGTTCAGATTCCAGGCACCAAGATGCCAAAGGTGGACCTGAAGGGCATCAAAGTGGATGTCAGCCTCCCCGATGTGGAGGTGTCACTGCCCAAGGTCTCAGTGGACTCTCCGGCTCCCAGGTCCTCCGGGAAGGGTGTGAAGGTGGAGGGAGAAGTCAAGCTGAGAGACAAGGACATGAAGACCAAGGACAGCAAGTTCAAAATGCCGTCTTTCAAAATTCCATCTTTTGGCGCGTCTCCTGCAAGCAAGGCCATTGAGGCACCAGTGGACGTGCCTCTGCCAGAGGCACAGGTGGACGTGTCCCTCCCCTCCACTGAGGGAGAAGTCAAGACTGGTGACCTCAGCATTCAACTCCCATCTGCCGATGTGGAAGAGAAGGGTGGCGAGGTGGGCGTTAAAGTCCCTGAGGGCCAGCTGTCCAAAGGAGAGCTCACGGGACAGGCCGTTGGAAGTGATCTCAAAGGGCACCTGCCCAAGTTCCAGATGCCCAGTGTCACGATGACCAAAGTGGACTTTAAAGCCCCTCAGGTGGATATTAAGGGCCCCGAAGTGGACACGAAAGCAATTAAGGGGGAGGTGGCCACCCCTGATGTGGATGTGTCCCTGCCAAGGATGGAGGTGGACAACCAGGTGCCAGGCACCAAAGTGGAGGGCGATGTGACCCTGGGACATAAAGACTCAGTTGTCAAAGACAGCAAGTTCAAGATGCCCAAGTTCAAGATGCCATCCTTTGGTGTGTCTGCGCCAAGCAAGTCAATCGAGGCATCAGTGGACGGATCTCTACAGGAGGCACAAGTGGACGTGTCCCTCCCCTCCCCCAAGGGAGAAGTCAAGACTGGCGACCTCAGCATTCAACTCCCCTCTGCTGACGTGGAAGCGAAGGTTGGTGAAGTGGGCATGAAGCTCCCTGAAGGACTGTTGCCAGAGGGCCAGCTGCCCCATGGAGAGCTTGCAGGACAGGCTGTGGGAGATGAACTCAAAGGGCACCTGCCCAAGTTCCAGATACCCAGCGTCAAGATGCCCAAAGTGGACTTCAAAGCCCCTCAGGTGGACACCAAGGGCCCCAAAGTGGACTTGAAGGGGCCCAAATTGGACATGAAAGGTTTCAAGGGGGAGGTGGACAACACAGACTTGGAGGTGGCTCTACCAAGTGTGGAGGTGGACATCCAGGCACTGGGTGCCAAGCTGGAGGGTGACGTGTCCCTGGGAGACAAAGACTTGGCCACCAAAGACAGCAGGTTCAAGATGCCCAAGTTTAAGATGCCATCCTTTGGGGTGTCAGCTCCAAGGAAGGACTTGGGATCCTCCGTTGACTTGCCAGGGCCCAAAGAGGGTATGGAGTCGTCCCTGCCCTCCCTGGGAGTAGAGATCACACCTGCTGAGGGGAGCATCCCAGTGCCACGTGCTGACATCACCCAACCAGGGGCTGAGCTGGACTTGTCCGTCCCAGAGGTGGAGGTGACTGTTGGAGAACTGAAGGATAAAACTGAAGGGGCAAGGATCAAAGAACAGCTGCCCAAGGTCCAGATGCCTGACATCAAGATGCCCAAGGTGGACCTGAAGGGCCCTAAGGTGGACATCAGCTTCCCTGAAGTGGACGTGTCCCTGCCCAAAGTTGAGGTGAGTGCCCCGGCTCCCAGGATCTCCATGGAGGGTGTGAAGGTGGACGGAGACGTCAAGATGGAAGACAAGAACATCAAGACCAAGGAAGGCAAGTTCAAAATGCCCTCTTTCCAGATGCCATCCTTTGGTGTGTCTGTGCCAAGCAAGTCCACTGAGGCCTCAGTGGATGTGTCTCTGCCAGAGGCACAGGTGGATGTGTCCCTCCCCTCCCCCAAAGAAGAAGTCAAGACTGGTGACCTCAGCATTCAACTCCCATCTGCTGACATGGAAGTGAAGGGTGGCGAGGTGAGCATTAAAGTCCCTGAGGGCCAGCTGTCCAAAGGAGAGCTCACGGGACAGGCCGTTGGAAGTGGTCTCAAAGGTCACCTGCCCAAGTTCCAGATGCCCAGTGTCACGGTGCCCAAAGTGGACTTCAGAGCCCCTCAGGTGGACATCAAAGGACCCAAAGTGGACCTGAAGGGCCCCAAAGAAGACTTGAAAGCCCTTAAGAGGGAAGTGGCCACCCCTGATGTGGACGTGTCCCTGCCCAGTGTGGAGGTGGACATCCAGGCACCAGACACCAAGGTGGAGAGTGACATGTCCCTGGGACACAAAGACTCAGTTGTCAAAGATAGCAAGTTCAAGATGCCCAAGTTCAAGATGCCATCCTTTGGTGTGTCTGCACCAAGCAAATCAATTAAGGCATCGGTGGACGTATCTCTGCAGGAGGCACAGGTGGATGTGGCCCTCCCCTCCCCCAAGGGAGAAGTCAAGACTGGCGACCTCAGCATTCAACTCCCCTCCGCTGATGTGGAAGTGAAGGGTGGTGAAGTGGGCGTGAAGCTCCCTGAAGGACAGTTGCCTGAGGGCCAGCTGCCACAGGGAGAACTCGCAGGACAGGCCATAGGAGACGAACTCAAAGGGCACCTGCCCAAGTTCCAGATACCCAGCATCAAGGTGCCCAAAGTGGACTTCAAGGCCCCTCAGGTGCACATCAAGGGCCCCAAAGTGGACCTGAAGGGGCCCAAATTGGACATGAAAGGTTTCAAGGGGGAGGTGGACAACACAAATGTGCAAGTGGCTCTGCCAACTGTGGAGGTGGACATCCAGGCACCAGGTGCCAAGGTGGAGGGTGATGTGTCCCTGGGAGACAAAGACTTGGCCACCAAAGATAGCAAGTTCAAGATGCCCAAGTTCAAGATGCCGTCCTTTGGGGTGTCGGCTCCAAGGACAGACTTAGGAATCCCTTTGGACTTGTCAGTGCCCAAAGTGGGTGCGGAGTCTTCCCTGCCCTCTCTGGGAGTGGAGATCGCACCCACTGAGGGGAGCATCCCAATGCCATCTGCTGACATCACCCTAACAGGGACTGAGCTGGACGTGTCCCTCCCATTGGTGGAGGTGGCTGCTGGAGAGATTAAGGACAAAACTGAAGGGGCAAGGATCAAAGGACAGCTGCCCAAGGTCCAGACGCCTGACATCAAGATGCCCAAGGTGGACCTGAAGGGCCCTAAGGTGGACATCAGCCTTCCGGAAGTGGACGTGTCACTGCCCAAGGTTGATATGGATGCCCCAGTTCCCGGGATCTCCATGGAAGGGGTGAAGGTGGAAGGAGACGTCAAGATGGAAGACAAGGACATCAAGACCAAGGAAGGCAAGTTCAAAATGCCCTCTTTCAAGATGCCATCCTTTGGTGTGTCTGTGCCAAGCAAATCAATGGAAGCATCGGTGGACGTGTCTCTGCCAGAGACAAAAGTGGTTGTGTCTCTCCCCTCCACTGAGGCAGAAGTCAAGACCAGTGACCTCAGCATTCACCTCACATCTGCCGACAAGGAAGGAAAGAGTGGTGAGGTGGGTGTGAAGCTCCCCAAGCGCCAGCTGCCCGAGGGAGACCTCGCAGGACAGGCTGTGGGAGCCAGACTCAAAGGGGACCAGCCCAAGTTCCAGACGCCCGACATCAAGCTGCCAAAAGTGGACTTCAAGGCCCCCCATGTGGACATCGAGGGCCCCAAAATGGACATGGACGGTCTCAAGGGGGAGGTGTCCGTGCCCAGTGTGGAGGCGGACATTCAGGCACCAGAAAAGGACATGTCCCTGGGATACAAAGACTTGGCCACCAAAGACAGCAGGTTCAAGATACCCAAGTTTAAGATGCCATCCTTTGGGGTCTCAGCTCCGAGCAAGGACTTGGGAAGCTCTGTGGACTTGCCAGAGCCCAAAATGGGTGACGAGTCATCCCAGCCCTCACTGGGAATAGAGATCGCACCTGCTGAAGGGAGCATCCCAGTGCCATCTGCTGATATTGCCCTACCAGGAACTGAGCTGGATATGTCAATCCAAAAGGTGGAGGTGGCTGCTCGAGAGCTGAAGGACAAAACTGAAGGGGTAACAACCAAAGGGCACCTGCCTGACGTCCAGACGACTGACATTAAGATGCCCAAGGTGGACCTGAAGGCCTCCAAGGTGGACATCAGCCTCCCCAAAGTGGATTTGTCCCTGCCTAAGGTTGAGGTGGATGCCCCAGCTCCCGGGATCTCCATGGAGGGTGTGAAAATGGAAGATGTCAAGATGGAATACGTCAAGACCAAGGATAGCAAATTCAAAATGCCCTCTTTCAAGATGCCATCCTTTGGTGTGTCTGTGCCAAGCAAGTCCACTGAGGCCTCCATGGATGTGTCTCTGCCAGAGACACAGGTGGACGTGTCCCTCCCCTCCATTGAGGGAGAAGTCAAGATCGATGACCTCAGCATTCAACTCCCATCTGCCAACGTGGAAGTGAAGGGTGGCGAGGTGGGCATTAAGTTCCCTGAGGGCCAGCCGTCCAAAGGAGAGCTCATGGGACAGGCCGATGGAAGTGGTCTGAAAGGTCACCTGCCCAAGTTCCAGATGCCCAGTGTCAC